GTCGGGCGACTATGATGAGGAGAAAACATACTCCTACTTCGACTTTGAATGGGTAAGCGAAGTCCCTTACCACCATATTACCCCAACTGCAGACAGAAATTGCTTCCTCAAACGACTAGGCACATCTTACCTCCTTAGTCCACACTGTCTTGGCCGCGGAGACGAACTTGTCCACAGACCCAGGATACAGAACCCAAGACATAACAGTAGTATTCAAGCAACCATGGCATTAATTTTCTTTGAAGAACCTTGTGTTTAGTAAAGGATTGTTGCATGTTGCCAGTAATACTTGTGTTAGTGTACAGGTCACGTCTTTCTCAACATATATGGCATTGTATATTTAATATTATATTTCCTATGCACCATTCATTAAGTGCTGTCCACATATAGAGAGATATGGGAATAAGAAAAATATCAAAATGGTGCTTGTTTTGTTTTCTTTATAGTATATACATGTATGTAACAGTACAATCAGTGTCCAGGGAAATAGTAATTGAAAGGTTATCTGAGTTGGTAAGTTACATATTTTATTTAAAAAAAACTGTTCTCCAACTCAAGAAATTTGAGTTTTCAACTATATCTGTCTTCATCAACTATCTGAGCCAAGTGCTGTGGCATTATATTTTCTACATCACTTTGATTGCAGAGCTGTTTGTGTGTTAACACAGTAAGTTTATGTTTAACGGTGCTTGTATGTTTTCTATCACAGTGTGAATGTTTACAGTAATCTAGTAATCGCCATCGTACAACCTATGCTGTCTAGCAAATATTATTTAGTATTTAGACAATAAACCGGATAGTGAATGTGAGTGAGTATGTAGTACTGTCGATGCAGTTAACTGACTTGTTTTTCTTGTGTTTGGTCAGAAAAACAACAAGAGAGTAGTTACAAATTAAATATTCCACTTTCAAGATCCAAACGCAGGGGTCAGGTGTTTGGTGTAAGTAGTGTAAATGACTGGAGTTCTCTACATACACCTGATCTTATGGTCAACAGTCAGTGGAAAAGATCTAAACTTAAGTACTAGTACTTAGACCATCACTGGGAGCACCTGTGGTGCAGGCACGAAGGAGTCAACTACACCAGTTCACCACAGCTTTCTCAACTGCATGCGGAAAAAGGTATTTTAAGTGGTAAATATAATGTTAATGACTTGACATCATGTTCAAATATATTATTTTCCACTAATTCAAGTTAATAAGTGAAAAGATAATCATATTGAATCTATTTACAGCAGACCCTTGGTAGACTAAAAGTCTGTACCAGTTTAGCAGTATTACTGCACAGAACTATCAAAATCCAGTACATAAAATATCTGTCATGATTACAATTTGCAGCACTGTTTATGTGCGGGTTACAATATACTTTCATGAAACCATTTCAGAACCTAAGTGTACTTGTATTTTTAGTATATTCCATCTGGGTTTGGCTTCAAGCTTGTTCATAAGTTTATTCCCTCTTCTCCAGTAGCATGAGGTTTTTTCTTCTCATAGGAAAATGGTCCACTTTTTGTACCATGTATTTGGCATGTCTCTTCCATTTTTCTAGATGATAAGTTGAATTGCTGCAATTCACTACTGCACACAGCTTCATGTTGAGGTCGGGAAAGTAACACTGTAAAAGAAGAAGAGAGAAAAATTGAACCAAAAGTTGATGGATTTACGTTCAAAACATCAAGTCTTGAATGCACTAATGCAATGGCATTTGCATGCACAAAACCCCCATGGCCCTACGTATCCCGCTACGAAAACCACACTAAATATTTATAAACATATAGATGTCATCACTGCTTGTACTATTCCTAAATCATTATTTTAATCGGTAATAATGTCGTGGTGAGACGGTGAGGATTGTGGTTAGAAAGCTCTATGCGCTTGGAACACGTAGTGTATCGGTCTTCTGAAGACAAAGCTCATGCAGTTTATTTACAATTTTTACCGACTAAAACTGAAAAATTCCACCATTATCTTACACAAATAACCACTCTTACACGAAAAAAGGTATTCCAAAACTCGTTTTATCGAGATTGGACCGGAAAATTGAGCGGAAAACGTGAAGACGGAAGGCGTGCAGGATGGGGGAGGGGGGCATGCATAAGTAATTAGGCGCTAGCGCTAGCTTGGATACCGTCAAAAAACGTACCGTAAATCCACTTGAAGATAAAGATATCGCGATATTTTAGGCAAGATAGGTCCAGAACATCGTTGGAACTCAGCCCAAGGCGGGTCACCACCGGTAACGCCGTGTGTAAGCTGGAAATCGAGACATACGCTGGCGCTGGGGACGACTGCGGCCGCGGGTTTGTTTATCTCCAATTCTGCGTCGCTAAGTAAACTCCGCGCAGGCGCACTAGTAATGGCGAATAGGCTTATTCATTATGTTCACGGTCTAACCACGCCCTCTGCCTTTCCCGTATTGAACTGCAGGGTTGGCCGGTAAGACTCCCCTGGAAGAGGCGCGGGCTGACATGATCGTGGACGGGTTGGCTGACCTGGAGGGCAAGATTGTCGACTTCTTCATTGAAAAGGACGAACAGAGGAAGGTGGGTGTCTTCAAAAAGAAAAAAAAATACATACCTTGCTTGAACGGATAACATTAAATATTTAAAACGTAACGGTTTTGTAGAAGTGACGTTTACTTTCATTGGGTTTTCTTCCTATGTCTCTTTAGTTGATTTACATTCATTTGGCTGCTTTACAGAATATTTTTAGTACTTCTAAAGTCGTTTATTTTATTTTTAGCAAGAAAAAATCAAAGAATTTGCAGAGAAAACCCTGCCGACGTTTCTGGGTACCTACGAGAAACTGGCGAGCTCCGACGGACACTTCGTCGGAAATGCGGTAGGTGGTGCTATTTTTTGTAGCTCTGTTAAAAAAAATCCATTGATACGTTGTAGATTTTCTTGTCTTAGTTTGGGTACAGCATCTTACTGTAGTAACAAACATAACAGCAGCAAATTATTGAGTGTTTTTGTGTTTACCTTCGCAGAAGAAAACAACAGTTTACACTCCGTTGCGTCCTCCATTCTAAAACAAATGTCAATGAAATGGACCAGACAGATGTTACAATGATGGTAACTTGTTCTTTGGCAGACACTCTGTGGCGTTGGATCACATTATGTAGCAAGTTAAAGGGGCTCTCAGGATGTATATGAATGCGTTTGAGCTGTAGTTTGTTAGGCTAAACCATGCGAAGGTTAGCTTTGACGAAATGCTAACTTTCTATCTACAAGTAGTGCCTAACTTTCATTATTTTCGTCCCTTCCAGCTGACCTGGGCAGATGTAGACTTCTTCGCCATGATGTTTTTCCTGAAAGATCACCTCCCGAGCGACCCTCTTCAGGGCTACGTGAACTTGACCAAGGTCAGGGACAACGTCTCGTCACATCCGGGCATCGCGGGGTGGCTGGAAAAGGAGGGGGCATCACAGTGAATTCTGGGATAGCCTGGAGCTAGCCCCTTTTCGTGCTTCATTTGCATTATCTATGAGGAAATGCTAAAATAGTCTTATTTCTTAAGATAAGACTGTCATTGGATGAATTTGATCAACTGATATAATTAATGCAAATGAGACTCTTGTAATTTGCATAAGCACAGTGAAAATGCATAATTAGTCAGTTTGAACGGTTTACATGATTTGGCAAATGTATGTGGTCTTGGCACTCTTGTTGTGTATGAAACTTAAAAATGTAGCTTGCATATAACCAACAATAGCATACCATGTCCATGTCAATTGATAAGAATTTCACCAGGGTGTTGCATGTTACTAGGGGCCATGTTAGTATTTTGCATGAACATTTTGCTTATGAGCAGGATTGTAAAAAAAATGTAAGCCCTTTACAGGTGGCCATCACCATGCATACGATTTACAAAAGCACTAAACATGTAATGGAGGTATGAGATCACCGAACTATAGTTTTGTTTTATTACTATCTTTTTTTGTGTTACATAAATTTCATACTAATTCAGCCGGAGACTGCAACAATACAGTTAAATGCAATGCAAGGAACAAAAACTTAGACGATTGTTAGAAAGAAAATAAAGAAAATCAAATACGGTAAACTTAAAAGTGAGCAGGAGATATCAACAGAAAGTTGAAATGCTATAATTAATACAGAAATACAATGAACAGGTGAAAAAAGAATTATTTTGTGCTGGTTTATCTTATAATTACTTGAAACACACGGAGCAAGCCTTTTTGCAAGGCCAATCCTACATGTACAGAGCATAGGGTTTTTCTCCCAGCCTACATATTTGTTATTAGGTCATGTTGATTTGATTATATGGATGACATCCGCGCGCGCATGAATTTTCGGCCGTTTCAAAAAAAAAAAGTTTTCAACCATACTGTAAATCGTACAAAACAGTTGCAAAATGAGCAAAAATATACCGTAAGTTACAAAAAAACCATACCAATGTCGTAGAATGCCAAAATCAAACGAAAAAAGACGAAATTGTAAAGAAATGAACTTAAAGACTAGATTATTCGCCAAACCATATTCCGTCCGATTTGTTCAACCCTCATGACCATGTAGATTTCATAATGAAAACAACTTTTTTCTTTGCAAAACTTTTTTTTTTATTCGCACGCGCGCATCAATTTTGGGGTTCACGGAGGATGTCATCCATATAATCAAATCAAGATGGCCTTACTACCGTCTTGTAGAGCGAAAAAATTAAAACCGACCATGTAAAAATTCACCAGCGTACGTTGATGGGTCTAGGCGGGTGGGCAACAGTCTTAGCACGGCCGTGGTATGGTTTACAGGCTAATACAAGGGCGTGCCACACTGCGAATAGTCTGGTATCCAGTCTTACGTGATTGGGGGTGTTGGGGTGTTCAGGCAGGCTGTGTCTTCGGGGGCTGTAATAGGTTCCCCCGCCCAGTGCAACAGGCCGTCCCGGTAGGAGTCTTACGCTAATAAGAGACAGTATGCTTGGGGATTTGGTTTCCCCTCCAACACGAGGGCTAATCAATCTCTCGTGAAATACACACCGGGAAACCTATGTGAGACGGGCGGGACAGAGCTCTTGCGGTCCCGACCACGATCAGACTGGATACCAGACTACACTGCGAAGAGATAAAAGACCTACCCACAGGGCAAATACCTCACAACTAGCTGGTGTCGCGGATTAATCGTTTGGGGCTCCAGAATAAGCGAAGCAAAAATCAAAATGTCCAGCTACAAGCTGACGTACTTCAACGGCCGTGGTCGTGCAGAGACCACCAGACTTCTGTTCGCAGCCGGCGGGATAAAGTACGAGGACGTCCGTATCGAAGGTGCACAGTGGCCGGCACTGAAGCCAAGTACGTAAGCTCCAGTTGTATCATCGGTTCACCGTGGTTATATGCCGCTTTACGAAATTTCAAAGGGTAACGTTTTATCAAGTAGTTCTACTGTGTACTCCTGACTCAGCGTTTACGGTATGGGTATCTGTCTAGGAACACTGTAACTGTATCTAATATTAAGGTGTAAGATGAGGGAACGAAATTTATTTGGGGCACGAACGAAGGTCACTTGTCGGAGGGTGATCTATGTGCTGTTCAACCGGTATACATGGCGTCTATCGCCTTGGGGTGTAACATGGTAACTTCACATGCCCAGGCACACATGACAGATGGTTATGAGCCCTGTCTGTCTAACTACAAAGCTCTCTTACTGTACTGTCTTTAAAACTGGACATGAGTCCCACAAAGGTAAACTTTTTTTCCAAAGTAATTCCTACACAATACGAAAATGATAGCATGGAAAAGAACAATGATTTTTAAAGTATAGTTGTAGTTCTAGCCGGAAAGAAACAGTCTCAAATTCTGTGATATCACAACACTAAAGCCTCTTACTATATCTATGCTACCTTTAAGCTAGCGCGAAGCATTTAATTCTTGGTATGTCTGAATGATGTTTCGAGATTTGTACATCTTGCACATATCTATACAATGTTTATCGTTTTCAGACACTCCGTTTGGGCATTTGCCTATCCTGGAGGTGGACGGAGTCACCCTTAGTGAGAGCGCCACCATCGCTCGCTTCGTGGCGAAAAGGGCCGGTAGGTCGAAAAAGAAACCTGTTTGTATAATTATGCTAATCGATCTAGCCTCCTATTCAGACGTCTTAGGACGGCGGCGATTATTTTTGGGAGCGCTGATAGGCGTTGTTTATACACGGATCAATGAGGATAATGGAACCATTGACCAATTTCACACTTCCCATAATGCCTAGTAAAGATCACGGATATGACGTAAGACCACCCCTTCCCCCTTCCTCGATGTACTATTTCCAACAAGTTCTATCGACAAACTGGTCAACTATTGTTTTGAATCATTTATCTAGTATAAAGCGCATGCCATAATTGCATTTTTGTTAGAATTAGAGAAAATGGTGTGCCTTCTATCGTTCCACAAGAAGTAGATATACGTAACGTTAACGCGACCGTGCGAGTAGGAGAGTCTTCAGTAGAAGGTGGAACGATAGAAGGTACATTTTTTTCTCTAATTCCTACAAAAATGCAATAAGGGCATGCGCTTTATACTAGAGAAATAATTCAAATCAATAGTTGACCAGTTTGTCGATAGAACTTCGAATACACATTCACGAGTTTGCCATTCCCATGATGCATTGCACTTGGGGGGGTAAATTTCCTAATTTGCATAGGACAGGAAGGTATCCTGTTGAAGTTAAACAGCTTGTTTTCCCGTGTGTTTTGAGGTTTAGGGGCATTTTATGCTCAACATTAATTAATTTACTATGGGTTAAATCTGACAACAAATAGAGAATGAAATAGTCGTGTTTTTTTAACATGGAACATGTAGTTTGTAACGTTACAGTGGTGACGCTATACTGTCTGTCAATATAGAAAGGACTGTAACCAGGATTGTAACGTTACAAACAATATGTTCCATGTTAAAATAACACAAAAACGTAATTCTCTATTTGTTGTCAGACTCGATCCATAGTAAATTAATTAATGTTGAGCATATAATGCCTAAACCTCAAAACACACGGAAAAAGAAGCTGATTAACGTCAACAGGATACCTTCCTGTGGTATGCAAATGCAGCCAGGCGCATAATGCATTGTGGGAATGGGAAACTTGTGAATGCGGCAGATTGGAGAGGCGAACCTGCTCGCGCATCAGCTCTCCCCTCTAAAATAAATATCGTACATCCCAAGAAGCCCGCGAATACGCTAGATTGATCTGCCTAGTACTATTAATTCGTGCCGTTATAATGTACGAATGACCTTTATTGTACATTCATGCCCTCAAAAGTCAAGCCATGATCATGTTGATAAAGTTCTAAGTACAGTAACAGTACAAGTCAGGTATAGAATAACTATTGGACCCTTGACTACCCTCAGGTTTGGCGGGAGAAGGCGATGTACAACAGGCGAGGGCAGACATGGTTGTGGACGCCGTTAGGGACGTCTTTGGCAAGGTGGCGGCGGCGTTCTTCGAGAAAGACGAAACCAAGAAGGTAAGAACGAAAGTGAGATCACTTTTTATTCATTTCAATTCAATTCAATGCCTTTATTTTAGTTCGAAATGCTTGTTCGGCCTACATGGCCGCTTTTCAACAAGGCCGAAGTGGAGGGGTAGAGGTCACGGACAAGAGTCATATGAACTTTTAACATGTACTATGTCTTGTACGCATCAATATAGTCATAAAGAATAAGTAAAATAAAATAAATATATACATAAATACATCATTATAAGTCATTAGCAGTTAAAGTTCATGATCTAGCACAATATCATTATCATGCCTGTTCCAAAATGGATTTGAAAATTTAACAAGGACTGGAGGCGGTATAGACTTTCCGGTCTTTTTGTCGAGTCACTGCTATCACGTGTTGAAAACAGATTGTTTTTCTTTTCTTACTTTATTATATTTTACAGGGAGAACTGATAAAGGAACTCGCTGAGAACACTCTGCCGACATTTCTGAATAATGTGGAAAAATTGGCAAACCCCAGTGGCTACTTTGTCGGAGACTCGGTACGCGTGACAGTCTGATTATTCTTGATAGCTAGATGATGCAGAAATGCGTGTAGAACATTGCCTAAGGACTTGGTTATATCCCGATTTGCTGGATTTTTAAAAGAGATTTCTAGTCCATGTCCTTGTACCATGAAGCCTAAACTATCCCTAGTCTTCACCGAACTGAATGTGGAAGTCAGCCTAAAAAATGTAGCTGGCCAGGGGAGTTGGCTGGTCCATTTTGATTGCTTTATTTCTATCTACTCTTTGTTCAGCCTGCAAAGAAGTCTGGTAGAGACTAACCAAGGCCTCTCCCACAGTTAAGGGACATTTACAGTTTAGCTTCTTACAGCTAGGTTATGCGTTTAAAGTTAAAACCTCTGGTCCCACACAAACAGTTCTCTCACCTACAGCTTTCGACCAGTCACTCTGGTTTTCCTCAGTAGACTGACCCAGTGAGGCTTGTCACGTGGCTTCTTTGAAGTGTGACGTCAACTTAACCGCGACGGGGGCCGACATCGACTACAAGATACCTTTGACCCAGTGTTGACGTCACACTTCAAAGAAGCCAAGTGACAAGCCTCACTGGGTCAGTGTAATGAGGAAGACCAGAGCGACTGGTCGAAAGCTCTAGGTGAGAGGACTTTTGTGTTGGACCGAAAACTTTAAACATGTAACTACCAACACAGATGAACTTTCATGATAGTTTGGTTATGCTCTATGACCCCACAGCTGACCTGGTCTGATATTGAGTTTTACTACGTACTGGAGGCTGCGGGTGGGATGTGTCCAGGCGACCATCTCAAGGACAAGCCCAACCTGACCAAGGTCGTCACCAACGTCAAGACCAATCCGGGCATCGCAAAATGGCTGGAAGAGAGGCCTCAGACCACATTTTGAAACCTTAGTGTCCTCGACAAAAATAGTGCTTTCGCGCTATGACTATAGTCTCTGCTAGAATAGATGTTGCTGGTTACGTGATTTCTAGAAATGTACTAAAAGGCCCCCGTTTGGGATGCTGACAAAACATTTGTAGGGTATAAATTCAGCCATATTAGTCCTGTTCTTTCTCTTCGCTCAGGAATATTTATCGGTTATCTAGACACTACCAGTATACAATGCAATGCATGTCATAATCACTAGCTACTAAAGTCAACTACTTAAAACTTTCGCTACAACTTTACCTGCAGCAAACTGGCAAACTGGCAAGGGAGAATTGTCTTGTATGGTATTTATGCCCCCTATTGCTTATGAATTCTCTGTAGGGTAAAGCATAATAAAAAGAATAGGTTTCGACCGTGATAATTTTTTGTCTATAAGTTATTGTATCATACTTGCAGGCTATAATAATTAAGGAAGGACTGAGGACATATTTATGTACAAACTAGAAAGGTAACATTTGCAAGGCAAATGTATAATGTTCACTTTCGCGTATGCTCTAATTCTCAAATGCATTTACATATAGATCTAAAACCTTCTTACTATAGAATAACAACATGATGTAACCCAACACCAGTTACCATGGTGAGAGACAGTCTGGTTCAGGTCACTGACCAGGTCAGAGGTCAATGTTTGGAACGGAAGAAGAAACAGAGCAAAAACAATATGGTTTCCTACTGGTAAACATAAATATAGAAGCCGGATACGTAGAGTAGAAACAACAAATGCCATTGAACAAGAAGGAAATAGTTAAATGGAAGGAAAGCTGATTACTACAAATTTCCATGTGCCCATGCTATTAATATAAACGTATTATAAATGTCCAAACTATATCAACGGTTAGTATAAACTTGTAGCGGCACACTGGAAAACACTGTAGGTTGAGCCACTGTAGGCAGATACCAAGTACAATTCACGACCTCGTCCGTACGGACCTTGAACTTCGACCTACTGAACTTTTGTCACTGACGGTTCAACCTGTATTGACACGGGCAAACCTGTCACACAACACCCGACAAGAGAACAAAAGTCCACCCCCCCGGCCTTGTTAAATACTAACATCAGGTGCTATAAATCCACGTTGTGCCGAGTTGGAATTAAAGGCTTTCCAGGGAACGAACCAAGCAAAATGCCGAGCTACAAACTGACGTATTTTGATGCGAGGGGCCGGGCGGAGCCGGTGCGGCTACTGTGTGCTGCAGGCGGGATTGAGTACGAAGACGTGCGGGTGGGCGGCGGCATGGAAGGGGAGCAGTGGGCCGAGCTCAAGCCGAGTATGTACTGGTGTCTGTATACGTGTGCGATTCGGTGGGGAGGGGGGTTTAACAAGGAGTCAGCCTTAACTCAAGACTTTAATGTGTTCACGTGGGGGGGGGGGTATGATCATAATGACATATTAAAAGTTTATTGCGAATACATGCCCGAGGGCTATTAAATTGCAATTACAGTACAACATTCATGAAAAGAGCATACAGTGATATGAGGGACGTCTAACGTTATGCTACACTCATTTTCATACATACATGGTGCTAGTTTTGGATTTGACTGTTCAGTATTTTTGGCAATGGATACGAATTTGACCACTTTCTCTATAGCTTCTATGATACCTTATCTAGTCACTATATGCGTAATAACTAGGTAAGACAGCATGTATCGTGTTGTAAGAAACAGTT